ATGGATTTATACAAAAAAGAAAACATTTTTGATCTTACTTCAGAAGGGGGGTTTCAGTGCTAGCCCCTTCTATGTATTGACGCTGCAATCCCTGAATTGATCCCTCAAACCAAGGGGCGGTTGGATGGATTAAAGGGGAATAATTTGGGAGTTGCAATCTAGCAACTGACACTCAAGGTTCATACTAAGTTATATAACTGATCGGAACGCGATTAAAAAAGGGAGGAGAGAACCCAATGGTACCGAAAATTTTTATAGACTTAAGATATGAATTATATACTTGCACTTAATAAACTTAAAATACTAGATGTGGGTATTGTTTCGGTTTTAAAGAATAAAATTCTTAGGTTTTTTTCCTTGGCGATACGATCACAATAACGATGGTAGGCTATTAGGTCATTACGTAAAATAGAAAAACATTCCTTTGCTATATTTTCACTCATTTGCAAATAAAGGGCTCATTCCCAACGAAACTATCGCTCTAAGTAGATCGATCCAACTCTGCAGGAACTCTCGCTGAATGCAATCAGATTAACACACCTCCTCTTGTTTCCAACGTACTCGTATAATCACCAGTTTTCTGTACTGTTCTGAACGCCAGGAGGAGGCGTGTTAATCTGATTGCACTTAGCCATTTTAACCAAAGTAATCCATTTACACTGCACTTCAGCAAAGGCTTGTTGAAATTATGTTTGTATATTCTATGCGTCCTTTTCTGTCATTCCCCTAGTTTCCGTTGCGATTATGACCTATGGCCTACCTTATTGTTGATAAGGTTATAAACAACAGATCTACAAATACTTTTAGAAAGCTACTAATACAGTCCACAATCTTTCTTCACACAGATACTCTAATATCAGTTATATATGTTATGGTATGGTATTTGTTTGATTATCTGCTGTCCACAAAAAGGAGAAAAAAAGACGTAACACAGAACACTTACAGCTGCTGTCTCAACAGTATACCAGGTCTTCGCACTGACATCCTATCCAAAAATGAGATCTATAGGCGTATCCAACCCCAAATATATACAGCACGCTCAATGTTTGAATTGATTAAACTTGAAATGCACTGGCTTAAATATGTCTATTTTTGGATCAGAAAACTTACATGTATAACTACTCTGAGTAGCGGTTGTAAGTTAAGGCTTAAAATACGATGCATTGACTTGCTTGAATCTCACTAATTTATTGCACCTAATTAAATCTACAAATTAAATACAAGTAGGCATTAAGTAATTGAGACATATCCGCGACATTTAAATAGATAAAGGCTTAAACTTAGCCCTATTCTTTTCAACGCGATAATAAAACATATCGTGTCGAGTTTAAAATGACTTTTGTAGCCATTCAAATGTCAACGTAAATCAAGTGACAATGACTAAATAAATACACTTACCGAGACGAATTTACACTAACATGTAGAGTTCACTGTAAACAAAAAAGGGTGTGGTTGTATCCTGTGTTGGTTGCTACTACCCTTGGTAAGGTTACAGCAAACTTGAGACTACTGGCGGCGATTCAACACAATTCGTAAGGAAGAAAGGAGGAATTGTCTAAGTCCATGCGCACCATCACCTTTAGCATGTCGCGTCGCAATAGTCTCTATTTTTTTCTGCTTAACCAGGTGGTGTTAACTTATACAGGTGTGAGAGTAATTCAAGTCACTAGAGCGTTGCTGGTGCCTTTGTATTTGCGGTACGTTGCTATAACAACAACTAAGATACCCGTCACTCACGTTGTGTATATGCTCTGTTCGAATTTCGGCAATTTCTAAATCGTGCTCTGAAACTTCTTAACTAAAGGTTCCTTTTTAGGGGGCAAGAGTTTTCACACAATATGACGTCACTGCACATCATTTTCAACGACAAAGGAAAGATTTCCATCAGTGATGATACGGGGACACGCACTTGAGTTTGTAATGGGAAGAACTCTGAACTGCCAACCCAAACCACGGCGCTATTTGTTTGATAAGAATTAATATTCTGTGCACATCAGCGAATCCTCCCCGCCATCTACCGCAATATGCCCTGATGGTGACCGGGAATCACCCTGAAATCAGAGTGCTTGACGGCGACGGCATCCGCTCAGCTACATGTATATTACCATGCCTTGGGCACGATGGTTTGCAGGGTTTTGTTACTAAAAGTGCAGGTGGAAAGAAAATGCCGCCTACCTGCCTTTGTAACTGTTAATCACCCAGAATGTACAGAAAGAAATGTAACTGATGGGCATGTTAATGTAAGTGCTCTCACATATACTAGTACAAGGTAATGGGAAAGAGTCTGCTTTTGATGTTAAGTTCATGAACAGAACAATACTCTCATTGTGTGACTGGGAGTACAGGCCTTATATAAAATAAAAATAAATAAATAAATAAATAAATAAATGAATAAATAAAAGGAAGCTAAACACACGTATAATATGTATTTTAATAAAAAAAATTTTTCGAAATTTTTTTGCTTGTTATCACACTTAACAGATGCTCGAGTCGAAAATCACACAGTGCGAGATATTCGATCCTCGCACACGCACACACATTAATTTTAGCAGTAACATATATAAGTTCATTCAAACACTGGGCCCATCAATTTTTTTCTTGATCACAATATTTAGCATATAGCGTTTGAAAAATCTGAGTTGTCGGTATTCTTCGCAACTGTTCAAATGTACAATGGTTTTGTCGGCGTTTATGGGAAATCCCCACGATCCGAACAGTGGCCAAAATATTTGAAAACCAAACTTTAAAAATTGAACAAAATCAGGTGAAAAAATTTGGTCGATTTCTAATCAAAGCAATGTTGATAACATATTTTGATGAATATCCATTGATAGATAATTAAAGGGATAATAACTCTTCGTATGAAATCTATATTTCACGATAAAAACATAGTGAATAACTCATAGAAATATAATATATCCTGTTTTACCACAAAAACAGCAGTTATAGCTATTATTCTGATATCTGAGCTTGTCTTCAGATCATGTGACCTCCACTGATGGCTATACTCTGTTATAATCTTTTAAGAGATTTTAACAAAAAACAAAACTTTTTAGAAAAAATCCAAGGACTAATGAATGTAAAAATGGATTCATTAACCATTGGTCAGTATGGGAAAATTGTTGTTTACTCCAGGAAAATTCATTTTTTGGCCAAAACGAATTCGAAGAGTTATTATCCCTTTAACTTTTTTCTGTTAAAGACAGAATGCACAACAGGGACTCAGTTGCTCTCCGCAGTTCACAATTGGTCATATATCACACTGTACCAGGACTGAAGCATCGTCACACTATGAAATGTTCGTTTCCAGAAAATGTATTTTTTAGATTTGCATTTCTAATGACGAAATTCGCAAAGTTTTATGCCGCATTTATTCGCATTGTCAAGGTTATATTTGTGACAAAGGAAAGTTTGGCGTAGTCAAACGACATTTTATGGCGACAACAATCTCCAGAGCTTAATTACGCACATGTGCATTCTGCACATGCTCAATTGTGCCCTAGAGGGGTAATCTCCATTGAGGCACATGTTGCTACTTATACCATGGGGCATCACTGCCTGGCCTCATTTTGCTTGATTTATTCTGTTCACGCGCATGATACAATTAAGCTACAAGTTACCTCAAATCTTCAACTGAAATCTTCAGTTCAAAAAATTTCATTTTACCTCTATGAGAACTTTCCAGCAGTTCACTCGATCTGTTGAAGCGTACAGTGACAGATTCTGCACAACTTCAAGCAAGGATCAACACTATTGATCTACTTCCTGATGGCAGTATATATATACGAATGCGGAGTGTCTTGGGTAGGATGTCTAGAGAAGGTTTATTTCCAGAGTTCACTTTCTTAAATGCAAAGCGTTCTGCATAATAATAAGCAAAATAATGATTTTCTACGGTCATCTTGACAATGAAACAATTTTATAAAAAATTTGAAAAACAAGATCTGGTAAAGACAACTTTTCAATATTTCGATCAAGCCTGTGAAAAAAACTCATTTCGATAAAATAGTTCACAATAAAAATTATACTTAGCAGTTGCAAAATTTCTGAAGCTTTCTGCAATGAAACTTCATTGAAATGGTCTGATCAGATAAGGTTTTATTCTTTATCTTTTTACGTATCAAAATGAGATTAAACATTGTACATTTAATACTGTAGTTATTTTTACTTCATCTCTACTATATACAAATGTGGATCATGAAACTATGGAGGTACGTGAACCTTCAAGTATCATCCAAAGGAACCTGTGTTGCAAGAACTATTGGTATATACTTTTTATTATCAGTATACACGATAATAAAGCGTATAAAGCGTATACTCGCCAGAGGTACACGTAAATCATTGCCAGTACTCTCAGTCTCAAAATCAAAGTGCTAGTGGAGGTACAGGATCAAGCGAGGTTAACCGAATCAATGTTTATTTATTACCAAGCGAGAGATTGTGTTAGATGTGACTGACAGTAAGCAAAGAATTTGTGGGTCAAGATTTGCATCTTCCTTATAGAGAATGTAGCACTCTCCCGTTGCTTTGGCAACCGTGTTGCCAATGATCATCTTACAGGTCATTTATTTTTGTATTTACTTATATACAGTACATGTGAAAATACATAATGGGTACTCGGTACAATGGATGACACCGTGTGCCCAAGTTGGATTCACTTTGTACTTAAAAAATGGTGAATAAGTAACAATGGTGTAGGTTCCTCCTGTTTTACGGCCGTGGGGTCCTTCAGGGGAGGGGTTCTCAATGGAGCTTCCTCCGAAGCGGGCCGTTTGCAATAAGAGATTTACCTGTTGGGAATGCTTCGGCGAAGCCCCTCTAGAGCGGAATATTCGCTTTGAGGGTTTTACAGGCAACTTTTCCGTCTATTGCGTTTAAAAGTATACAAGAAAAATGGCCACCAGACAAGTATAAAATATCGATATAAAAGAAAGAAAGAAAGTCATATATATATATATATATATATATATATATATATATATATATATATATATATAATTTGGTTATCGTCATGACAGCTGAGATAATTCAGCTAACATATTTTCGTTCTCTTCAAGTCGTTCTGCCCACTCTTCATACGGCTTTAAGTGAGATTCATCCCAATTATATTTCTCCATAAAATACTTTGCGAGCCTCTTTCGGCGGTTAGCCATACGAACTGGATCCGTCAAATCTGATCGCTGCTCACGAAATTTGATAATTTCAATTTGCTCCGGTGTGAGTTCATCATTTTGAATAACGTTCGTGGGAAGAATCTCCCATGCTGCTTCTCCTTCTATTTCAAAATCAAAAGGTTCCCAGTCATTTAACCAGTTACAATACACTTCCGTTGAGCCTAAAAGCTCGGGAAGAGGATCCTCAGTTTTTTCATAAGCATACCACGGCTCCTCCGAGGTTTCAAAGGGTTCGTACGAATCATTCCAACACCATTCTCGTAAGCATTCTGGACTGAAGTACCCGAAGTCGTCAGGCAGGGGGAAAGCTTTGCCATTCGGATCAATCCCTGTGATGGCTATACACTCTCCATTACCAAGAAGTTGCAGCGTACGTTTACAAACAAGAAGCAAATCTTTCTCTGTCTGCGAGTCTTCATCTTCTTCGTTCAGCCTATTGATCATATCACATATTTCCTTTTTGTATTCCGTTTCGAACTCAGCAGCAGTTGGTGCTTTTAAATAGCCATCGCAGAAATTATGTAAGACTTCTTGAATGGATTCTTTTGGGATACCATACTGTAAAAGGTGCGTCATAAAATTACCAAACTGCCCGGTGTAATTCTGGGCATTGACAGCGTAGATGTGCCTCCGGCTGCCGGGCGCCATTTTGTTCACAACATCTTGCATCTGAGGGCGAAAATACTGCATCAATCCAGAGATATTATATATTTTATTTTTATAAATACCCCAAACAACGGCACCTGTTTCCGTGTTCCGTTCCAGAACGTCTTTTGCGGTACAGTATATGTCAGCGTTTAAGCTTTCGTTTTCGTTTGTCATGGTTGCGTGTTGTGTTAACATTTGAGGATGTCGCATTTGCCGCTGTTGTTGGTCTTGATTTCCATGTTGTTGATGTTGCACTTGCTGCTGTTGTAGGACTTGTTTTCGATGATTTTGCTGCTGTTGCTGTATTTGTTGTTGGTACGGCTGGTAGGTTAATGGCGCCTGCTCTTGATGCTGTTGTTGAACTTTTTGGTACGACGGTGGAAAATGTTGGTGCATTTGCTGCGTCTGATAATGCTCGTATTCATTTTGATTATGATGATGATGTTGATGATATTGTTGATTCTGATTCTGTTGACGTGAGTGGTCGAACGGTGAACTGTTTCGGTTTATATTAGCAGCCGCGTAATAAGTCGTTTCGCCTTGATCCATTCTGTGTTGGATGGGCGCTACCTGTACTAATCCGTTGCTACTTCCACAGCCCATTAGTAATACCTGGATGCAATCTCTCTGTAATATATGAGGAAGATCATTAAATATCAAATCAAATAACTGGGGTTTTTAAAGCTATTAACAGACAATATAAATTTAATTCCTCCAGTACAAAGGGACATACCAGTTCGTTCGTTTGTCTGTTAACACATCCAATGCTACGGTATTAATCATAACAAATAGCTATTTGTTTAAATATGTTTACGTAAACACTTGACGCTGAGGCATTCTATTTCATGAAATTTAAGTGTCTGTACAGAAAGTAAGATGTGTTTCAGTCTAAAATTCTTAGTTTGGATATAATAATACACTATTAATTTCATCAATTCGCATTACAGTCTAGCATCAAGTGTGAACTCAAGAAACGAGATCACAGCTTTATAGCAACCAACTATTAAAAAATATATACACCAAGTGAAGCTCCCGGCTATTTAGACTGTGCAGAGACTATACACAGGGCCGCAGCCAGCAATTTCAAAAGGGGGGGGTCTTTTTCTGAAAAACTGGGTCTTTTACCATGAAACATTCGTGTACCTAGATAAAATTTTATCCAGGGGGACCTTTTCCCAGCAAAAAGGGGGTTCTTTCGATACCCCCCCCCCCCCCCCCCCCCGGCTACGGGCCTGCTATACTATATCCGGATAACAACTGAGTCCTGACCTCTTGCGTGACCCCCGCCACGTGACAGGTGTCAACCGTAGCCTCCGGTAATGTTCTGCAACTAGAACATGTCTTTACTTGGCGCCGAAGTAATGTATTCCGTTTGGAAGGGAATTTTCATAAAAGTTTTATGGGGATGTCTCGAAACCTGTAGTTGAAGTGCACAAACGCAGCAAGAACTTTGTCTCACAGTTTTGACAATTTTTCAGAATACAATTCATAATTCATTGTTTTGTTCTTGTTTCAATACTTGCAATGTTGATTTTGTGCTCAGGAGCGATACTTTAACTCCGAAAATAGTTCGTATCTAACCTCAGGGGCGGATTGAGGCTGTCTTCAGGGTCTTCTGGAAGAAGGTCAGATTTTCAGGTTGACGGGTATCTAATTTTTTCCGTCGGAAGACGGTCAAAAATGGAGGATGGATCAACAAAGATAATTTAGAAGACTGTCAGAAAATATCTCCTGATCCGCCCCTGTTACCTTGTCTAGCCTAATGATTACACCCTAGTTTAAAGTACAAGTGCCTTTAAAGTGACGTTTTTCGGGTCTTTGCAGATGAACCACATTCCTATAGGTTTGCAAATAGAAGGGCAGTTTCCCCTGCATACATATACTCTGCGTAATTACTCGGATTTGACAAAGTTCATCATCTATTCTTACTTGTCATTTATTTAAAAAACACATCGGAAGCTAGTTTTGGGCATATGGGTAAGAATAAACTACAGACATCGGTCCAGCGGGAAGTACAAGGAGTTGTTCTGTATTGAGTTCTAATACACATGCCGTCATGTTAATATCAATACTTCATAAGATTGGTGCTCTGATTAAATCAATGAATTATTCATGTCTATCATGACATGAAATCAGTGGGTAACGCCACGCGAAAGTTTGGTGATCGACTCATACATTATCATGGACTGGTTCAAACAGTTACTTTGTGTGTGTGTGGGTGGGGGGGGGGGGGAGGGGGCGGAGGGGCCAATAAAGCGACAATATGGCTCAATAAAAATGAATTTCTACAGCTTAACTTCCATTCTCAAAAGTTGTCGAAATCGAGTAAATTACTTCACAAAAATACATAATCTGGCATACAGTAGTATTGTTAAACAGTAGGTCGTGTGGGAGGGGGGGGGCGAAACAACTGAATAACGAGCAAAACTAGACAAACCCATCTTTTTTTCCATTTTCCATACTAGAGCATTACAAACAAATGTAGTATTGGAAAATTGTCCTTAGCTGCTTTGTTTTCTTCGCATCATTTGTCATTTTTGCCTAAATGTACATGTACCCCCATCCTCCCCTTAACCAAATGCTAGATTAGCAAGTGCAAAGACAATACAGGGTGTTAAGCGAAGAAAAAACACTCGAAAAAGGTGCTGCATTCAGATGTTAAATTCAATATTCGTGCTCATTTACTACTAGTACGTAAACGTAGAACTACATTGTACACTGTTAAAACTGTGAGCAAACCCAGCTACCATCGGTCATGTTTTTATGTTATAAATTCTGTATAGAAAGGAATGTGAACCTGGTCATTATAGTGCTCTCCGTGGGCGTGTACCTAGGATCGTCTAACCTGAATTCTAGATTGCGATAGCACGTGAAGGCATACTCATATGTCTTATGTTCTGTTTAAGTATTGAATGACATGTCCTTAATATAAATTCACTGCAAATTCATGGCGACTTCGTAGAAGTGGAGAAGAGTTTTACAATAGCCAATTATTTTCACTCGTCTCGCTCGGTGTTTGTGCATTGAAAACAGTTTTAGGGATCGAAAATAAAGGAAAAGGCACCTGAATTTCTGAGGACAGCGAATTATTATCACTCTTATATTTGTCTTCAGTATACATATAAAAATTAGTACAGAGGTGGCTACTCATTGCCCTCTGTGTTGGAAGGGGTGGGGTGGGTTAACTGCACGCACACCTTGGGCCACCAGTGGGTTACTTGGCTTTTCCATATACAATTTTAAAATTCATTACGTCTTGCTACATCTACAACATGTCGACGGACGGCAAATAAACACTAGTAACTGATACCGCGCGTAAGACCAAGCAGCAAGCAGATAAAATAATTTTATAGTGTCGGTTTATGGTTCAAGTCTGCCGTATCGTCAAGCAAAATGACGAACTTGACCTGGGGACCTTCTTTACGTTTTAACCGAAAATTAATATACTGGTACTGAATCTAACATTGAAAATACTTGCTGAAGTGTTAAAAGCACAGATCTCAATCAGATTTTAGGTAGTTTTATGCAGTTGCACTTACCTACATTGTATTCGGCAGTACTTACAGTGTTCCCTGAACGTGTGCACTCGCATTCCTACAGTGATCTAACTTGGCAAGCCAACAGCACCCGCCTGGTAGTCCTGATCGCAGATCTACCAGTAACATACCACAGATCTTGAGGTAACAATTCTTTTCAAGCTATTCTTTATAACCTTTTCAACTGACTCTCCTTTTTTCTCATAAAAGGCGTATTGTTAGCAACGCAGGTTGCCACAGTACTCGCTGTGAGTGTTGTTGCCGCATTACCAATTTTTCAATGCGTGAGCTAGAGTACGTCATGTCAGATCTAAAAATAGCTGTATATATATAGAATGCTGGAGTGGCCTATGTTATGAATAATACAGGCGGTCAAGAGAAAATGAAACAAATAAAAGCATAATCCAAATAAATATTTGTAATAACTATTGGGGGATTTATTCTAAGATACACCTTCGTGCCAAATATTACAGTTACAATAATAGTTAGGTAGAGGGCAAAACTGGATAGTAACTAATTAAATCGCTTTAGATCGCATAAGACAGACGTGCACAGTAAAATGTCTTTAAATGCTCATTTACGTCCAGAATATTTCAGTCCAGCGATTTGATTGACCTAGAATCCACGATAATATCTGTATCACGTAAACCTGTGTTAAATGTAAAATCTTCACGCATGTTATTTGCATACATAATCACGTGCGCGGTAAATTTAAATCAAATATGAATTAGTATTGATTTCAAATATGTGTTATTCTACATTTTTGTATCTTAGATTATTGGAATATAAAGGAATGCAAGGAAAACATAACACAATTACATTTCATACGCGATATGCAGCAAAGTTTCTACCGAGATGGTCTTAAGTAATGAAGCAGTGATCTACATGTAGGTACTTCATTTCTCCAACCACGATCAGCCTACGTTGTTCCTAGGACAATCTACGCTCTTACCTTAAATTTATAAACAATGCCCCGTGTGGCATTTAGCCAGTTCTTTAATGATCACATTGAAAATTCATTTTTTCCCAAAACGAACAGTTATTATCCCTTTAATATTTACCGTGAAGTCAACGCCACCACTGTAAATATAAAATGAAACATGATTTTATTCTTTTATTTGGTATCAAAAAATTTCATAGAAATACCAGGGTATTATCTTGTGTTAGGGCAAAAACAAATTATGACAGGCCCGTATCTTCTGAAATCATACACTGAAGAAGAGATTTTAAAACAAAATCACGTTTACAGAGGCTTATCAGTGTTCCCATTTGTATCAGCCTAGTTAATTTTGTTATATAATAAAGGGCATGCTGGTCTAAATAATAATAATAATTTAAAAAACAACATCCAGAGCACATCATTAGGGAGGCAGTCAAACGTTTCCATGTCAGAGAAAATCCAGTGTAAAAAATACCACTTCAGATTTAGTACGAATTGACTTAAATGAAAAAAAAATACAAGATTCACAATTATAAATAATACTTGACAATGAAGCTACATTATCAGGTCAAACTATTACAGGATATATGCTTGAACATATTTTTAAAAGTGATATTCAGTTTCTCATAGTTCTATATAGAACTGCCATGTTTCACTGCTTCTTATTTTGTATTTCTTTTCATAAGGGTGATATTAAAATATCACGAATCATGATTTTTACATCACCTACATAAGCTGTCAAGGACATTAAAAATATCTAAGGCAGTGAGGGAAGATCCTACCTCAACTGACTAAAAGGTTTTGCAATATTACATCACATTAAATATTTTAAACTTATATTTCAAATGGAGCATAAAAAAGAAACAACTGTGAGCAACAATGTTTCTTTGCAATATAAATATGATGACACTTGTAAAAAAGATTTATAACAAAATTATAAGAACATCACTTTACATTAAAGTTATTTATTCAACCATTTAACTGACTTTCATATTTAATAGTGTTCATTCTTTATAACATTACATGCTTAGGCCAAGGTGTGGTGTATTTCAACACACCTGTGAGAGGAGACCCATAATTTAAATAAATAAATATTGAATCTTTTCCTTGTAATTTTTACTGTGAGGTGACTTAGGTCAATGTATTTTCATATCCACTGGTATTTTCACCTACTAATACCATTTCATAATGGCATCAGCTACAGGCATATTCAGTTGTTCCTTGTATGAGCATCTCACTGAGATTTCAGTTTCTTTGATTTTGATTTGGTAGTCTTTTTTGAAGAACTGCCTCCACCAAAAAATCCTGCTAATGCTTCTGATAAATCAGGCAGCTGGTTATTGGGTTTTAAGAAGTTCATCTGGTTGGCCATTTCCTGCGAAGAGAAACATCTCAGTTACATTTGAGGAGTTACTTCACACATTAGCAACAATGAAAACTAAAACGATATCAAGCAAACATTATAAACTGCACCATTTTATATAAAAAATATTGACTTTTTACATACAAACACAAACCTGCAACAGCAATTAATACAAATTTCAAGTTTTTAATTCTTATTTCTAGATAATTTTAATACACCTTTCAAACAATTTATATTTGTATCAAACAGCACCTACAGGCCCGTAGCCTGCAATTTCAAAAGGGAGGTTCTTTTTTTGAAAAAGTGGACCTTTTCCCATAAAAACTTCATGTGCCTAGATCACATTTTACCCAGAGTGGACCTTTTCCCAGCAAAAGGGGCGGTTCTTTCGAACCCCCCGAACCCCCCC